TCTTCTTCTTCTTCTTCTTCTTCATTCTTGATAATACCTTTCTGCAATATTTTTAAGCTACTTCATTGCATTAAACTAATTAAGAAAAGAGAAAAGCATACGTTATTTTCTTAACCTTAAATTAACAATTTTACATTGGGGGGAAAACAGAAAAGAAAGCAGAGCCTGGACAAAACAACTTTTAAAAGTCTACTTGAAAATTCTGTTTTGACATTTCTTGAGAAATGTAATTCAGATGGTAACAGTTCATACGTGAACAATCTGTTGCTGCAGTCGGGGTAGATTTGTCCTTTCAGCGTTATATAATAATTATTTTTGACTATCCCCCATGCATGAAAGATCCACAGTTCTTGATGACTCTGAATGCTGTGGATATAACTAAGCAGAACACAGTATACTTAATCAGCAATGATTGCTCTAATGTTATATTAGCAATATTGGTATTTCAGCCCAAAGTGTAGCACTGGTAAGACAAGTACAGATATATGAGTTAATATTTCAGTTTTAAAATTGTACCTCTAGCAGTAACCCACTTGGTTACTTGGCACAAAACAGAATTTTCTTTTAGATTAAGCTCAATTTTATGATAAAATAAATTAATGTAATTTATTTCAGGTAATTTCTGTTGGTCCACAAAAAACAAGATCTCCAGTTTCACAAAACCATTGATTTAAACACTGGACGCATTAAATTTCCAGTTGCCTTATCAGTGGATCTACTGCTGTCAGTTCTCTAATCCCATGGAGTGATCATTCCCTGAGATTTGGAGAATTGGCAGCAAAGGAGCCATTCTCCACCAATTCTTTTACTTCCCCTGTTCCACACTCCATAGAAGAAGAGAAGCCCTTCTCAATGCCAGCTCTCCTGGCGCCAAAAGGACTCATTTCCGCTAACAGAGTGGAAGCCGAGAGCCACTTTCCTTCCTACAAAGGAAGGGAAAGAGGCACTTCTAAGTAAAGCTGTGCCCATAGGTGCCAGTGAAACAGCCCTCTGTGCAGCTCCGCTATGGGGCTACCAGCTGCTCTTCTGCAGGCAGAGCCATGATGGAGCTACCTGTGGTTTCCTCACAGGGCTGCTGGCAGTGCTGTCAGGAAGCTGTAGGTAGTTTCACTATGGCTTCCTCACAAGGCTGCTAGTTCTGCCAACAGTGCTGCTAGGAGATAGCTTTATATGTCCAGCAGTCAACTGGTAAGACTGCTGGACATGTGATACCTTGATGTATCTCAATGGTGTACCAGTTGATTGCTGGACATACACTTAAAAAGCTCCCTGAGGGTAAGATCCTGCAGGACCTAAGGTGGGAGCAGCTCTACAATGGGGGTAGCATCTCTGCAGGTAGCACTCTTGCAGTACAGCAGAACTTCTTGGGGGAAGCAGATCTTTTTATACACAAGAGAACTAGCACCAAAAGAACTGCTTCCTAAGCCCCCTTCTCTTAAGCAGGAAAAGCAGGAAGAATGACTTATGTTATTTGCTTTCAATTTGCTAATTTCACAGAGATTGGAGAAGTGACTGCAGAAGACCACTTACCCCATATTCCCTTCGGGGGGGCTGGTCTTTTTGTTGCTAGGAGAACTGGTACCAAAAAGACCCTCTTTCCTTCCTTCTCTTCCCCCTTCTGCTGCCCAAAAATTAGCAAGGGAGAGGGGGTTTTTTGGCATTGTATGAGAACCCTGATTCTCCTGCTGCTAAAAAGATAATGGCCAGGAACTCAGGGTGGGGGCTGTCTGCAGTAGCCTCAGGTATCCAGTGAAACAGGACAAGCCCCCACACTAAACTAACTTCAGAACAATTTGCTGCAGACGGACCACTCAGCACAACTGAGGGGTAGAAAAATCACACTTTTGAAATGGAAGGGGAAAAAAACTATGGATGGAGGCTGTCTTTGCAGTGAGCTGGGGGAGGAAGTGCTGAAGACAAAATCATGCACTTGTGTCTTTAACATATAATTAGTGGAGCATCTTTTCTTTGCAGTGGGGAAAGGAGGAAGCGTGGATGAGCCCTAGGTATGATTAAAGCTAGATCAGGGTGATATTTTGTGAAGTAGATAGTTTCTGTCATCTTCTTTTAATAGAACATTCTTATATTTAAAAGTTGCTTAGAGTTGAAACAGGGATTTTTAGTACAAGTAGCCCGCAGCTTAAGAAGTTCTGTTCCCAAGGTCTGTCCTTAAGTCGAATTTGTATGGAAGCTGGAACAGTATTAT